AGAAGTCGTAATCTGCCCAGTGATTCAAACTGATAATAAAACAGCAACTCCATGACCACCTTAAATAATTATTGTGTTACATCATAGACTGAATATATTTGAAAACAAGAGCCACCGGATTCTAGATTTGCAACTGAGTAACATCATGATTTTAGTAAGATCTGATTATGCCGAGTACTATCTTGTATGGGATGGCGATTGCATACTTCTGAAAATCGAGTAAAAAAAGGACAAAATAAAGAATCATTACTCCTGGCTTCTCAGAATTTTTCCATTTGTCACTTTGTGACGATAACTGTCTTGAAATGTTTCTCTTCATAAAATAACAAAATTTAAAAAAATATGCTTTCGTCTGGTCAAATTTTATGCCTGTAGATATCACATATTTGAAGGCTTCGTAACAATAATACACTAATTATTATTAATAGTCGTCCCTTCCCTATATATCAGACAATCGACTAAATTATCATAAACTCACAATTAATCTACTGTATAACAGTAAACTTACAGTTCAGAGAATGTTTTTGGTTATCAAATAAATTAGCTAAAAAATTGATATTCCTAGGGTAAAATGTTGCATCTTATATAGGAATAGTCTTTAAGATGCTGGCTTTTAGAAATGTAAGCATCCATAATGTAGCATATGAATAATATCATTAATTACATGTATGCAGCGACAACATTTCGAGATTATACCAGTAGCAAGTAACAAGAGTATAATATTAACTAATTTTCCAGCACTTAACATTCAGTTTGACCTGTGATAAAGTTAATCATAGCTTGGGAATCAGTATATATATATATATATATATATATATATATATATATATATATATATAATATGCGTGTACATATTACTGTTATTAATAATAGTACAGTCGCCATCTTTCATTTCAGTGTTATTATATCTTCAGGTAAATAGACTGCGTGTTTGACCTTGAGAGTATAATTAGTTTGTACTAGATTTTAGACTGTTTTATTCTATCAGTTCATTAAAATTAGCGATATTTATTAAATAATATAATTGATAGTTTTTCAAAATACACTTCAAGATTATTTTCTTCTGTTAAAACTATTCAAAAATCTAAGCAAGGTTGATTTTTAAATCGATATATAAATATAGTATTATCTCGTATTGACAGTTACTTCATGAAATATGATTGACAAATACTGAACTCATTGTCGTACTGAAAATTAGAATCACTTCCACTGGTTAACCTACCTTGATACTTTTTAAGGATATGATGACTGAATTTAAAAAAGGATATAAGTAATATTAGTCCAAAATCATGAATTATAAGGTCAATAGGTCAGAGAAGGTCTGAAAAATATTTTCTTCATTATGTATATGAACCCATGAAAATTAACTGTTTATTATTATCAATAGTTGAAATCATGAGTCAATCGAAACTAGGCCACCATGAAAAATTCGGAAGCGCCCGACGGCCGTTTCATCCTATTGTGGGACTCCTCAGCAGTGCGCATCCACAACCCCGGCGAGACTCGAACCCAGGCCCGTTGTGAAATATCAACCCCTTGAAGACAATGGTGTACGGTGGTGCAACTGCGTGGATTGGTTGAAGCTAGACATTAACACCGCTTTATACCGGCTCAGTGGTCTAATGGTTAAGCGCTCGCGCGCGAGACGGAGAGGTCCTAGGGTCGAATCTCGCTGGGGGCGAAATCGTAGATGTGCACTGTTGGGGAATCCCATACTAGGACGAAACGGTAGTCCAGTGCTCCCAGGTTTTCCATGGTTGTCTAGCTTCAATTGACTCATAATTCCAACTATTGAAATTTCTAGAAATCTCCACAAAACCCCTTCTAACAATATTCATTATTATGTCGTAGAAATAGAAATCTGCGTACATAAATTATTTATTGTATAACAGAAATTCTGAATATGTAGAAAGCAAACATATTTCATATATATGATTAGAAATGTGGTTCCAGTACTACGCTGAAAAGTCCCAGAATTTTTACTTCGAATAATTTTTCTCTAGTATATAGGGGTCAGATGAGTCAGAGAGAAAGGTTCACTCAACCATCTACCTATCTATCGATGGCCTACTTTACTTATCTGGCTCTTTGTTATTTATTAATTTATTGCTTTGAATCATGGTCATTAGACTATGAAGGATACTGAAATCACAGATATTTTTCTAAAGAAACCTGGAAATATATTGTCTTGCGTTTGATGGAGCTTCTGTCAAGCGAGCGAGTCGAATGTGTGAGTCAAAATGAATAGGGTTAAAATGTACATATATATAGGAAAATGAGTGAATCATCGAACAATTCAGCCACTAATAGTAAGGCTAGCAGAATGAAATATGCGTAGGCAGTAAGCAATGCTCAGACATATGTATTTATACAAGTGAAACAAATATAAAGGTACAGTGATATAAGTTGTTATTATACGGAATAACTCTGTCCGTTAAATAAGTTAACAAAAGGGCTTAACCAAATTAAATGTCAACATACTCAGTTGCACGTGAGCTGCTATAGAAGGCTTAGTATCCGCGATGTCAAAATTATAAAAGAACAACACTGCATATACAACCCGTATGACCTTGGGACACAAAACTAAATTAGGAAACTAAAAGTTTGCAACTAACTAGGTAAATACAAAGGTCACTGTGGAAATACGAATTAGAAAGATGTTATCGTTGTTATACATACAAACAAAAACTTTCATTCATCAAAGATAACTAATTCACCTTGTCTTTCAACCACATATTGTTAATTTACTCTTACTCTGCTGATGTCCATTGACGGATAAATTTATTTGCTGAGATGACTTAACCTACTAAATTATGATTTTATTTATGTTAATAGGCTGCAGAGTCTGTCATTATCGACAGTAGATTTTACTGAATGTATTCAGTTACGTGCAACAATATATCAGTAAGTAAATGATACATTATACAATAAATCTGAAGACTGAGAATTTATGAGTTTTCAACTAAAACTGTTTGTATTCAAACAGTAATGAAGTCAAGAAATCAATACCAAGTGAATTGGATGCCAGTTAGAAGTAATAAACAATATGAAATTTAGAACCTGTCTTATCGAATTGTTTTAAAAGTACAAAAAAAGGGATAACATGCATAAAAGGCAAGTGTTTAATCAGAAAACAACTAACCTTATTATATGATTACTTAAAACATAATTCTGCACTTGATTTGAATCCCAAATACAATATCCCCTAGTGTGATCATTACTTCCTGTCTGACTCGAATGCTTGTCCATTTGTTACTACGAGAGTATATGCAAAACACTTTCGGGAATTACTAGCTCGTATACTATTATTATTAGTAGTACTTATAGTGGTAGACGTTTGAGTACGCCAGGTATATGAGGGAAGAAACTAAGTACATATATGTACTCACGTCATTATCCTTGTGATATCTTAAGTCTTCAGAAATTAACTTTCGCAACATCTTACGGACTCATACAGTGAATTCTTATTTTTGTACAGTTAACGATAATTAAATAAGTGAAAACAATGAAGGTCAAACTGCTTTCCTAATTTTTATTCTATACCGATTAGTTTACTAGTAGAAAAAAATTCGTCCCATTCACTGATAGAATTTGGGAAGCACTAAAGTAATATACAAATATTGCACTGGTCACTTCTTAATGGACGACCAATTGTAAATATATCAGTCCCATAGAAGGATAATCAAGACGTAAATAGCTCACTGGTAAAGTTTCATAGTGTGAAACTGGGTAACTTAATCCCAAATCCCACAGGGAAAATCCGTCCCCTCAGAATCTCAGGTATGCCTTACTGGTATGCGAACTAGCACGAAACTTCGTTCACGTCTTCCTATCGACTATCTTCAATCACCTAAAGCTTATGTCATTTTTATATCTTGATATAGGCCTATGATAATTGCTGATTGCCGGACCATTGAACTTATTCTTATACGAGAGGGCTTTGTGGCGGAATTAATAGAACCTCAATTGTGACACAACATTTCAACAATATTACACTTTTACGAAGAAACACATAGAAAAGACAGAAGTTCAAGGAAATTGATATTTAAGCCAAGTTTAAATCGTACAACTCTGTATAGATATATCAATAAAAACATGACCTTGGAGCACAAAGAAAGTTACTAAACTGAAAGTACTGACAATCGGTCAGAAAAGCGAAAAGGCTATGCAAAAATTGGAATTAGAAAAGACTCACACTTAATTATCGTTACCAGCAAGAGCTTAACGTTTAATTAAAAGAAAGATAATCCTTTGATCTCCCTGAATACTACCCAATCAAGGAGATAGTTTTTTTCACAATCTTTTCTTCGCCATAATCATTAAAAAAGTAATCGAGTTCAAAATTGATATTTTACAAAAAGTAGAAAACAAAAACAGTCGTTTACATACACACGTGAGCATAAATAAACAGATAAAGAAAAATTCATACTTTGTACAATAACGTTAGCAACAATGTTCAAATTACTGTTGAGGATAACAAATTTCTTTTACAGAAATTGATATAAAAAATTGCAAAACAAAAATGCTGAATTCATGTAAACAAAACAGCAAAATTCAAATAAAAGTTGTATTCATCTTTCTCTTTTAAAAATATTGAAATCTGGATAGAAAAAAAATCATCTGAAAGAAAATGTTTCCGTCTTGTACTCATTTTTTTCAAAAAAAATCGTTGAGGTGAATATGAGAAAATAAGTAGAACATTTTGGAATTGACATATTGTGATAATAAACTATAAAACAGATTTTACATTGAACACATGAATCACATTGATAAACAGAACATAATAAGCTTAAGATATGGGATGAAAATAATAGTATTATGTATTTTACCTGAATTATTGTGTGATTGAGGTAATGATGATACTTACAAATTTCTATCAAAATGGTTACAGCCAACCGCACTGGTGTATACTACTAAATCACAAACGACATAAATAATTAGTCAGACAAATAGATAGGTAGTTTCGAATTTGATGTTATTAACAGTAACAATCATAGTGATTAATTAGGTTTTAATAGCGGATCTAAGATATTCGACTGTCTTGATAATCGTCCAGATGTTAAGTCCGATTCCAACTCATATAACTGCCCCATAAAGGCGAAATTTGGTGCAATCACCGAACGTTTCGATTTCACATATTGATAAGCATCGCTTAGTGACAAACTTGAATAGTTCATTAAATAAGCAATAATTAAAGCTGGTGATCTGGACACACCAGCTTGACAATGAACAAGCACAGTTTTGCCAGAGCAACGAACTTCTTCTATGGAGAGACAATTTTTTTCAAAGGAAAAACATTGATGAAGTAAACAAAAATGAAACAGCATTTTTTATGAGGTACCAATAATCATAAAATTAGAAAACGTTACTTCATTTCCCATTTCAAACAAAATTTTAGCTGTAATAACAAAATAAGTGGGTTGATGAAATCACTAGTATGACTGATGGAACGGGACGGACGATTCACTTATGCAGCAGACCCATAAATTCCAAACATGTAGATCTTAGAAAACGGAATTAGCGAAAAATTTGTTCAGTCTACTAGGGAATTATAATTTTTGTTGATAAACAAACCATTCAGACAAGCTATTGTTTGTAATATCAAACAACAAGCAATTAACTTAAAGTTAGACATATACTTTAGCTAGTTTAGCAGAGACTGGTAAATATTTCTATTTGAATCTATACTCCACTAGTTTCAGAATTTCTATGTACATAAAGACCAACTGCAAAGTATCAGTGACCTTATTTATCTAAAGTTCATTTTATCGCTATACCCTGGAATAAGCAAGACAAGCGTTCGTGTGTAATTAGTCTACAATAACATGTGTATCATGACAGTCAATAGAAAATATGTAAACAGTTAATTGTTAAAAGTTTCGTGAAGACTGGTTTAATTTGTACGTCGTATTCGTAACAGATTGATCTCAGTTGAAGTGCTGTTAAAAATTAAGGAGCATTGGTAAACTGTGTGTCTTCGTAAAAACTGGTTTGCCCTAAAACGGGGCTTTCCTTGGTAGCGAACATCCACAACCTCACAATGTCAGGAACCTACGGTTTCCATTTTTTGTGATGAATATCTAACCAGTAAAACTACTGGATAAGCATTCAATGACACAATTTTAAGTTTAATCAATCTGAGATATAGCGCGACGATTATCCAATGTTATAGATGACAACTTCCATACTTTCGCCATGTTTGAACCCCATTAATGACGACTTCTCAGTAGAACTTTAGAAATATCTTGAAGAAAGTCACCGGCGAATTGACTATTACAGTTTAGTTGAAAACGTTTTGTGGAGATTGGTTTAATTTCTAGGTGTCAGTCGTCATTGATCTGCAGTGCTGAGGTTTCCTATACAAGGATGGAACGACTTTCCATAGCTCCCGTGTTTTCATTGGTACCCTAAATAAGATCATTTTGTAATGAATAGTACCTAGAAAACAATATTTCGTTTCATTTTGACGTCAAATGTTCAATTCAACCATCAGATACCCAATAGATTTAGGAAAAAAATATTCGATGAGTTCAAGCTTTTATCTAGAATTTTTGACTCGAGTAATAAAGACTTTTTTATAGGAATCATGAAGCCCAAAGAGTGCGTTATACAAAAACAAAATAATCGATTACATGTAACCAACAGAATAAGTAAATGAATACGACAGTGGGTTCATAGATAAGAGAATAAGGTATAATGTATAGTGTACAATACGAAAATATTAAATTTTATCTAATAACCATTAATAACTATCATAAACAACTTGAAAAAATCAATATATAATGTTTTCGTTGTCTAGACACAATACTTATGTTTATTTGATGTCATGTTTACGATTAACAGAATTCGACAAGAAATGAAATAAACTGTAACAGTTATTCGTAAATGAACACCTTCAGAAGTATTCAATAAGAACATCTCTAAACAAGTGGTAACTATAAAAATATTCATGATCATTATTCATAATTTTTTTTAAAAAAGATCATCGTATACTAACACTGTGTTGTCTGTTGTCGCTAGATTGTTATCTCAACGACGACAACAACAACAACATGAACTACTGATTAACGTATTAGATATATTTTACTTAGATCGACACATTTAAAACAAGTCTTCTATACTATTTCTTGCAAGAAGTGATCTAATGCATAGAAAATGTGTTCAGTATTTCGAGTTTAATTCATTAGGTTTTATATGAATTTCGGATATTAGTACATTCAAATATGGCATATTGTATGTACATTAAAATCCTGATTAAATTGTTCTAGATATTTGTTTAAGAAATTCGTGTCAATTATTTAATGTTTTGTGAATAGTTAACAAACAACTACTTCTTGAGAATTCATACATAAGATTACATAACATCCTTCCGATATAGTACATTCGTTACTTCAAATCACTTATTCCACATTATGTATACTACCAACAAAACATGATATTTTGTAGTTTTAAATTACAGATAATTACTGAAAACCAAAATTTTTTCGTTCAGTGCTCCTTAAAACGGGTACGTGATGTATAACTTCCTAATTCAACAAACTCCACAACCCAGTATACTAAGATATTCAGTGTTGTTGAATCAAATGGTTTCATTCCTAACTGATTAGTTATTAATTTTAGGTGATATTACTGCTGCACCTTAGGACATTAATATATTATAGCATTAGTTTGATGACTAACATTTCGGTGCAGTTTATCCGAGTAAAATTAATGTATACATTTGTTTTATCACATTTATTGACCAATTAGATAAATATTTCAAACTTTAGATCCATCACTTAAGTTTGGAACGATGTTAAATCTATTTAAGATGAGTCATTGTTTGTCTGGAATTCTCGTCTGTCTGTTTATCAATCACTTTCTCAAGATAAAAACAGTGACATATTTTTCCAGACTGACTCAGCATAAATAGAGGCATAACAGACAGCATTGTTATATTTTACAAATTATAAAGCAGTGAATCACGACCGAGACATGACTCATCAAATTAGTATTATTTCAAGATTATGTTTATTATATATCGAAAGAAATTAGGACGAAGACAAGAAAACAAAGTATGGTATGTAACTTGTCTGGACTTCTTCAGGGCAATAATCAAAATATTCGTTCCAATCTTGAGGAATATTCGTATAAATGATTGTCCTAGAATGCTCTCTAAGTTCTATGTATATTGTACTTATTACGCCATTACACAACATGAACCAATCTTTTTCAATCCCAGTAGGTAATTATAAATCTGAGTATCTTGGAGACATTGTTTGGATTTCATAATGACTGAATTGTGGATAGACATATAGTTTGACTAGTATCTAGATTATGTACCTGTTGCTCACCTCTACCTGAAACAATTTTGACAACAGAAGGTTTTGTTAAGAATTGAAGTTAAAAGTTGTGCACTTTACGTCTTCTTGAAGTAACTGACTCTTTACTTATCAAATGGTGAGTGATGCAATCCACAGCAATCATATAGCCAGTTTGTATAGAAAGTTTCAACTAAGTGATTACGTAGGGAACAATCAAGTGATATAGTTGTTGAAGTGTAGCTAATTCTCACATAAATAACATAAATACACATAATTTACTTAATGACCAAAATTTAGTGTTATTGAATATCGTACACGAAAATAAAAAATATAGAATGACTATTTACATACCGATGAATTGAAATGCTGATGTAAAATACGATCGTAAATCTTGTGAATGTGAATCGTTTGCAGGAAGACGACAGCAATTAAATCGCGATTCATCAAGAAATGGTGTTTTAATAGTTACATTTAAAATTGAGTCTATACCATGTTTATTTAAAATCTTTTCACTTTGACCATCGTATTCATTCCCTAGATTGGAAAAAAGGAAGAAAAGAAAGACAAAATAATTAAGATGAAATCAAGTTTTGTGGTAATCGAGTACCAAAACATTGTACAACACAAATCCTAATGAAATTATACAATATCATATGTTTGCATATCTATGAATGAGCCTATGTAAGTATCAACATCAAGTTATACATGGTATATTAACCTGAATAAAAAACAATTCATCAAATGAATTTGTTACTGTCAGGTTTTTTCCATAGATGATGGATATGTTTCATAGGCGTACAAGTGACCAACCTTCACATTAACATAGTATGATGTTTACAATTTATAAATATGTAGCCACTATATATATTGTGCAGAAAAGTTTACACATTTGTGTCATTATTTAGAAGTACTATAATTATTATACACACACTTATCGATTTATTTATGTAATTATGGCTAACGCCGTTAAGGACAACATGTAAGCAATCTCAACTATAATGTGAAATGTGACAACGTGAATACTTGAGCCATATCTTAATTTGTTGACAGATAGATGGGAAAATTTGACGAGACGAATAACTGAGTACAAAATTGAACTCGAACCATAGAATGGCGGATCACTGTCTACTAGTCTCGGTGTGTTACAAAAACCAAGTCTAAACAGGAAACCGGTCTGTGTGCCATGTTCGTTACAACTGACTGATTACTGGGTGGTGATCAATGTCATGTGTGTGCCATGTTCTGCATATCGATTGCAAAAGAAAAAAGAGGAGGACTATTTTCAAATGACAAATAAATACCCAGTACTAAATAGCTGTCAAAGTATAAACCCAATCCCTTCCAACTAAGTATTATGTTGTCAGATTACCTAACTTCAAACTAGGATGGTAAAATTTTCAAACTTTTTGATGGATAGAAAATTGTTTGAAAAATAACTTCGTGGACAAAGATCAAGAGCTGAAAATTTCTATGAGGATATTTTGGACATGATCTATGTGATAAAACTTTAAAATCATAATGAGTAGAACAGTGATAAACTTGGAAAAATATCACTATAAAATAAGATCTGAAAGCCCTGGCTTCGATCCTCCCGAACGGGATTCATGAATGTCCACTGTTGGGGAATCCCATAATGGGGTAAAACAAATATCCGATTTTTTTTATTTTCAGTGATTGTTTGATTAAGATCGGTGTCGTAAATGTAGGCCTTGAAATAAGATATGCATGACAGAAATTTTACAAGTTTATGTATTGTAATCAAGTTCATTTATCTAGTGAAAACTGGTGTCAGTTTTGTGTTTTCAGCAGCAGTGACATTACTCAGTATGAATTAAAATGAAGAGAGAATTGAAAGTTTAATAAAGTGGTCAAAAGTGGGTTTAAGCACTACTTGGTCACTTTTTTGAAACTTAGAGTAATGAAATCTAAGCTAACACAATATTAATATTTGACAGGCACATTGATGTATAAAACGCCATTTTGATTACAAATGATTCATATTTATGTTGGTACTAAATGTATTTACAACTGGATTGCGCTGATTTTAAAATTATCATGGCATGATGTCACCGACATGATGATAATCTATGATTCCTTTATGCTGAGAGTTATCGTTCAAGTTTAAGGACTTAAATGTATTGCACATACTGTCAAGTTATTTAGACTGAGATAAGTGGAGTGGTCCACCAATGACCCTAGATGTAGTATGCCTGCATGATCAAATGTATTGTTTTTATTTTATTTTAAAAAGTGTTATTCTCTTCAGTGAATGAAATGTTTTACAAACGCCATGGTGAAACAAACAATATCTTACGTAATATATTTATAAGTTATTTCTACATGGAAATATAATATAACTATAACTCATCATACGAGATCATTTAATGGGATATTTTTTTTACCTAGATATAGAAAAGGGAATATTCGACTGATTTCGGCACGAAATATATCTTTTGGATCACCAGGATCATTATCAGTTACACAAAATCCTGCTAGATTCCATTGTTTTCCAATAAAATTTGCAGTTGAGTTACAGCGGTTAATTATTGTTGAAGCTAAACTATTAGATTGTTTTACTGAATTGTGTAATCGAATCGGCTTGTATTCTGTATTTCCTGCAGACAAGCCTAAACCCGGTAACAATATTGGTGAACATTTGAATTCTAATTTTCGACACTTTATTTTTGTAAGTTGAATGTTCAAAGAATGAGCGAACTTATCCTTTATATTTCTCGACTCATTATGAGTTATATTTTCAGTGTGACTGGTTTTCGAATCATCACTTATAGATTGAGATTCGGCTAACGGCTGTTCACATAAATGATGATAAGAATTGCAAAACTCTTGAATACCGCCTGAACGAAAAAATAAAACACAAAAGAAACAAAATAAATGTTACTAAACATAATCCAAAACATGTATATGTATATATAACTCAGTCTAGCTCTTCTACGGTTCCTCGTGGTCCCAAGCCCGGGTAAAGGAGGAAGCTTGGAATGAGGTCAGCAACCCCATCCAGTAGAAAACAACCTTGCTAAAAAATGCTAAAGATTGAACAAATTAAACCATTTGTACTCTGCCCTGAGAGTTGAAGAATCTTCATTCAGAAGAATTATGACGCCTCATGGTGAAAGTCGAGATTCTTCGGTAGTCATGAGGCCGATGCCCCTTTCTAACAACTGGAAAAACAATTAATGTAGGTACACGGAGTATCCATACAATTTGGTAGACTGGGAGGACCAATCATATTGTTACGGAAATGAGGAGATACAACTTGGTTCTCGGAGCCAGTGAAATCATTGGATCCAACATGGGCAGAAGACGTTAGATTTCAGAGAGATGCTGCTATACTCCGGTCACGAAGAAGAAAATGCTCCATACACTCAGTGAGTTGCTCTGATGGTGTCCAAAGAAGCGCGAAATGCACTTATGGAATAGGAATCTCATGGATCCAAGATCATGAAAGCATCTTTCAAAAAAAAGAGGAAATTACAATGAATGTTATCCAATGTTATGCACCCACCAATCATGGAAATGACGACGATAAGTCAGTTATACGTGGGGCTGCAATCGATCAAAGTGAAATGTCCAGGAAAGGACCTAACCATCATAATGAGAGAGACCTAAGAGTCAACATAGGAATGGACAACATCCGATATGAAGATGTCATACGACGACATGAACTGACTAGGAGAAAAGAATGAGAATGGTGAAAGAATTGTAAAGTTATGTACATTCAACAAAATGCTTATAGGCGGCACAGTATACCGCGACAAACGCACACACAGAGCTACATGGATCTCACCGGACTACACAACACAGAACCAGATTGATATATTTGTATCACTAAAAAATTCACAAGGTTAATGGAAGATGAACGAACGAAAGAAGGAGCTAATATAGCTTCGTACTACTACTTGATGGTTCACTACAGCCTTCTTTCAACATATTGACAAACTCAACGAATTCAAGGTGGCTCACAATAACAAGTTCCTAGCACTACAAGATCTCAAAGACGAAGAAACTACTATGGTGGACAATAAGAAAGGGATCAAATAAACACTAACTTCAACGTCTCAGGAGGTTCTGGACCGCAAGAGGCATCATCAAAATGAATGAATCTCTCAATAGTGTTACTCGACCGGACGAAAGGTTCAGTAGATGTCCAGCTCTGAGATAAACAGGCTGGATTCTGTAAGGACCGATCGTGCACAGACCAAATCGCGACATTACGAATCATTGTTGAGCAATCGATTGCATGGAAGTCGCCAGCATACATCAATTTCCTTGACTGTGAGAAAGCGTTTGACAGCTTGGACAAGGGAATGTTATAAAAATTTTTTCGACACTGGTGTACCTGAGAAGATCAATATCATACGAGATTAATACTATAAACCACACTACATCGTCGTGCATATAGGAAAGATGACAAACGCATTCAAAGTGAGGCCCGGAGTCAGACAAGGCTGCTTACTCTCCCACTTTCTCTTTCTTCCAATGGTTGAATGGATTATGAAGACCTCGACATCTAGGGGGGGTGACACGGAATAAAATAGACAACCTGGATGCAACTAGAAGATGTAGACTTCACAGATAACCTAACTCTTCTATCCTATGCACACGAATAAATGCAAGTGAAGACAAAACTGTAGCAAAAGCCTCTGTCTGCAACATTAGGCCTCAACATACACAAGAGAAAAAGCAAGATTCTCAAATATAACACGGAGAACACCAACACAATCACACTTGATGGGGAAGCTCTAGAAGATGTGGAGACTTTCACGTACCTGAACAGCATCACATATGGACAAAGAGGATCCGATGAAGACGTAAAGGCAAGGATTGGTAAAACAACAACAGCACTCCTACAGTTGAGGAACATATGGGACTCAAAACAAATGTCTGCAAGCCAAAATCAAAGTGAGAATCTTCAATACGAACGTCAGCACAGTTCTACTGTAAGGAGCTGAAGCTTGGAGAACTACCACATTCATCATCAAAAAGGTACGAGTATTTATAAACAGTTGTCTAAGTAAGATACCCAACGTCCGTTGGCCGGATACCATCATTAACAGCCTACTGTGAGAGAGAAAATACCGAACTCCAAATGACGGAAAATTTAGTAGAAGACGTTGAAGATGAATCGGACATTCATTGTGGAAATCACCAAACTGTATCACAAGGTAAGCCCTAACTAGGAATCCTGAAGAGAAACGGAAAAGAGGAAGATCAATGCAACGCGTTGAGTTGGAGATCGGAAGTAGACATGAAAAGGATGAATAGGAACTGGGAAGAAACGGAAAGGATTGTCCAGGATAGAGTTGGATGTCGAATACCGGTGGGCGGTCTATGATGTCTCACGATGGGTAACAGGAATTATATTTATATATATGACTTGTCAAGTACAAATCAAGGTGCTCAGGTCTGATCCCTACATATTTTGCTATGGTGAACGTTCAACCGTTACCCATTTATCTTGATTTAATTAACTACGGAACATTGCTGTCCAACAAGTAAAATGTGTGGTTAAAAGCCAAGCACATAAACCAGTAGTTGCCAAATACGTTATCTGAGATTTTCGTAGCTGAGACCAATATTTTATTTATAGCTGACCTTATCAAATATTGCGAAATTTTCAGTAATTTAAAAATACATTAGTGCATGTGAGTGTCATTCTAATGTGTTATTATAATGTTATTTGGTAACTGGTCAATACACTGAGTGTATCTGTAAAACAAATTCATTTATGTTACTACTAATTATAGGAGTTACTATTATTGTTTCAAATTGAACTTATAAGCTTATAACTGAGGCATGGACGGTCGATAAACCTGAAACATGACAAACCCAGGATTATTTTAGTGTTTAGGATATTCTGTGAATGACCAATAGTAAAGTTATTTTCCCAACTTCGGAACTATCCAGTACTGAATACCAAACAGCTAACAATCAAGCGTCTAAATCTCACAATAATCACTAAATAAATCAGTCCCTATATTGGAATCTAATGCTTTATCTATTCGTAAATTTTTGCACTATATGTCACTCTCCCAATATGACATTTATTATACTATCGTTTAGAACTTCACGATGTTGAGTCCCAAACAAGTAATCATTGATTGCTAGATGGAAATTCACCTAACTAAATATCTCTCTAGTCTAAATAAATGTCGGCCAAAATATGGCGATAACATTGTCTTTTAAAACTTTATAGTGGTACGTCACAATCCTGACCTTGACATGTCACCATTTTAAATAATAAGAATATTAAAGTAGAAATTAACGAGATTATGTTTACTATTTTATCAGTCTGTAGTGAAATGTATGTTACCAAAATGTTTCTATCTATATATATGAAGTCATTTTATTTTACTTTATTAACTCAACACTAATAAGACAGAAAACAAACTTATTAGGTATTAAAAGAAATGGCTTCACCAAAAAGTACTTCAGTTTAACCTATATCTAGTTATGCACAGTGATAAGCAACTTCCATATTACGATTTCTGATATCTACTTAGTTGAAACCGACGGAGATGAATGCTTGCTGGCAGCTTATATTGAGCGAAGATCTACGTATTAAGAAACATTTTGTGGTTTTAAACTAAAATTTGGAAAACGTACGATAGTGAGTTATTATTATTATTATTATTATTATTATTATTATTATTATTATTATTATGTGTCTCAAACTAGAAAATAAAACCATATGGACGTTTACAATATTCAGTAGCTAATTTCAAGTTAAGATCCACTCCAATATCTACAATCTATTAAAATATATTAACTTCGCCTGAAACCTTTCTCGGGTTTACCATTTCTAAGCCCGGATAAGGGAGGGTTGGGCATAGGGTTGGTAATCCCGTCCGTAGAAAACAACTTTACCAAAAATACACTAACAATTGAAATAAATTTTTCTCTTATCTTCATCTAAATGAATCTATTTTATATCTTAAGGTTTGAACTGAACACTTTACTAATCACATGATGAAATCAATAAACTAGTAATGTCAGAAACAAACAAATAAATTGCTATAGTTAGTAAGTTTTTATTAAGTCTTACATTAACTAATAGGCACAAGTTAAACCCTATAAAGACATATTTTACTATTCGTGAAATATGTATCCCATGAAATGTGCTTTTACACTTAAAACTAGTGTATTAAAAAAATCAGCTTATAAGAAAGTGTTTATTTTGCTCAACAGAAATACAGTTAGCAAATAATTAAACAAAAATATGGTTTGTGAGTTGTATTCGTCACAGATTGATTTCGTTTGAGGGAACACTTAAAATCAGGGCCACTTAATAGCTATTTCGCCCTAACATAAGACTGTTCTGAAATGGGCATCCCCGACCTCACCTGGAATCTTACCTAAGAATAAGATCTAATAATACGACTTTAGATTCAATCGATTTGAGATATTGCACAACGATTATCCAATGTTATTGGTAACAACTATTCTACTTTCGAAGTTACTGAACTCCACCAATTCTTATTGATGCTTCAAATGAAATCGATTTCTAACGAATATAACCTACAAAGCAATCCAATCGTCAACAAAGCAAGTTGAAGACAACAAAGAATAATTTAGTTATCTAACCAAGTTTTGAATCGAAGTTTTTAGTATGATACTAAGGTTTTAAAAAATACTCTCACTGAACACTTGAATGTATACACGAGACCTTAATCTTTGGAGTTTGCTTCTCAGAGATTATACATAAAATACTGAGTACACTTTTATTTTATGAGGGATGTAGTCAATAACATTTTTTTTCCATGTGACACATACATGACAATAAACATGTAAAGTTTTTTTAAATTGAAACAGATTCCTCTAATCTCGATTACGTTATAATTATATTAAAGATACTAACAAAACATTAATATTTATAGGAAGCGATGCATGTGTATAAAATATATTTCAGTTACCTTTGAGAACTCTTGCATCTAAATGATGAACATCAATCAAGTGTTTAACCAAGCAGTGAAGAAGATCTTTTAACATAGGAAATCCACCGATATCAGAATCAGTATAGATGATTATTAAACGGTAGTTAGGTTGGTAGTCCTTTAGATTATGAGTATTAAAACATTGTTCTCTAGCACGTAAATAATTATTTAGCACTGGCAATGCACGACGTAACTTTACACGAGATTCACATGGTATGCCGATTGCTGTTTGTATTCGTAAATTAGCTTGAGAGGCAAGACTTCTTATGTCAAGTATGAGCGGTACACATTGTTTACATGAATAGTTTGAGGTTAGTAATGAAGCCAGTTCATCACAATCAATAAATTTTATGCCTGAACTAACAGGATTATTGGCAGATTGTTTGTTTTCAGATGGATAATTTACTTCAATTGGTGATAGAATATCCAACGGAGTTGATGTCATCTGATTACTTAACGTCAAGTGGTGAACTGATTCCAACTTCAGGCGTTTTCCTTCATTTTTACATTCTAAAATCGTTTCATCAGCATCATTTTGTGATGACTGTTTGCATGTTCGTTTTTGACCAATATTTTCGGGCACTACATTCATCGTTAATAAATTGCGTGGTAAATTTTTCTGAAATCCAACACTTTGACAGTGAATTGTCATTGTAATATTGGTAGTAAACCCAGCCGCTCCGATGGACAGTGCGCCGACTATCTATGGTTGACTATGCGTAAACTGACTCTTATTTATTGTATCTGAAGGTCATATTTTAATACACCAATAGTCAATTAGTTTTCATAATCCTATGCTAAAATTTAATTGGTTAAAATACTTGTATGTGCGATTGATTACGGGTGTTAGATAACGAAGATAAATGTGATTTAGATCAGTCACATGGATTATCTAGTGATTATTAGGTAGACCATAACTTGATTGACATTTCATAAGAAAATATTCTTTACAAAATGGTCATTTTTATTTCGTTCATAATTTGCTATTTACTGATGAATTTTTTCTTTCAAATTTTCTATCGGTAACATGGATTTTTGGTGAAACTTCATAAATTTTTCATTAGATTAAGTTATCCTTAAAGTTAGTTCGTCTATTTTCAAATGTACTGTCAAGGAAACTGAAATCCGATTCGTTACCCAATTACTCTGATAAGTAAAATGTATGAATATTTATTGCTGACTAGGTTTTAACTAAATTTCGATTCATTAGCTGAGTTGTATCATATTCACCCTTGTAAATTAAGGGTTATGTCAACACGAATTTAAGGTGGAACATCTGCACCAGTGCTTTCGAATCTTCAGTGACTTTACAATTAATATCAACCTGCGATGTTAAGCATATAAACAGCTACTTAAAAGGTAACCGTATGTTGTATGAATATTCTTCTTAAGACATCAGCTTTTGTTTTCTCATCGTTAATCAGTTTTGAAGAATAAAGTAGAACTTTGAAAAAAGCTTCGTTTGATTAAAATGTACTGCAGACTGATCTAAGGTGTTATCCTCCTGTTTGTTAGTTAAAGACATGGAGTTTGAAGTGATAGGGTGGTTGTTGGAGGTAGTCGACGGAACCCTGTTTAAACCTAGGTTTCGTGCAGTTTGGCACTTATCAGCAACGTGTACCTGTGGTCCTGGGGTAACTGGTGCTCCCTGATGAACTCGACGCCGATCACTCGGCTTCATCGTCACAGATGTTACCACTGAGCTATCCGTGCGGCGAATGACCTTCTTTAGAACTGAGATTTACTTAAAATTGATTGGTCATTGGGTGGTGACCATCGGTCAAGTCAATTGATATATCGATTAGTGAATATCTAGTTGATTCTGATCATTTATCTCCACAAGAACCCTCATTAGAAATTATTCACAAAATAAGACAAACTGGTGTAAATGGAAACCGGACATTATTCGTTAGCATTTCATCAGTTCAGGCACGATCTTAGAATTTAGAAACGGTACATCCCATAGTTTACTGTAGTACTAGCATTTATTATTTTAGTTATTTCTTGACACGTGCTTGGTTTCTCTTTCTAATCTTTTATTCTTCAAGTATATAATTATCTTTCACATCTTTTTCTAAATCTTATTTTGATGTATGTTCGCCTATACTTTTATTCTTTATCTAATCGTCAATTGAATAATCTTTCATATTTTATATCATCCGTTTTACCCTTTGACTTTTGCGTAACTTTAATTTCTTAACGGCCCTCAGCACCTCTATTATTGACATAACAGTTCTCTGGTTTTACTATAGATTGTGTAAAAATTAACTGTAAATACAATTATACAGCTCTAGTAAATAACATCGTTGAAAACAAAATTTTCTTCACTGAGACGCTTTTATTTTGTTGATAGACTCGATGGGTTTCTACGATAATTAAAAGTATTCGAATTAATGTAATAACTAAGAATTTATGAAGAGTGAAATTTAAGGGAGGTAGAACTAGATGAGCACAAATGGAAATTCGTAATCAGTGGGTAATCAAGTATAAATGAATCATGAGTTCATACAGATACCACGGTTTCTTTAGTTAGTTTCAGTCAACCTTAACTGCATTGCTGAAAGTAACAGATTATCGAAAGCACATTATGATTTTTATGAGTATAAGGGGCATGAATTTGCAATACGTTTCCGTTTCAATTCTCATCAGATATGAAGTATCTAACATTTTTCGATCCATTTAATGAGTAAATGCGGCATAAAAGAGTATGATTTTCACCAAGCATTTCATTTCAGGCTTTAACTTTTACTTCGCCTTTTGCTTTTCTCATCCAGAAAGTTGGGAGACACTACAGTGGTGTGTTCACGGACAACATTTGTAAGCAGCTTTAGATGATTTAAAATGAAGTTCCTAGTGAAGATAACACTACTTTCCAAATATATCTTCAAATGTGGAACACATAGATAATGGTACAAGGAGGAACCAAATAGATATGCGCCAAAAAAATTTCATTTGATTTGTGTGGGGGCTGTGATACTCCCCGGGTGTCCAAACCAAAGCAGGTAGTTTTCCTGGGGGGCCATACCCGGAATCTTCGGCCTAAAGGTCTGATACAAAAGGGAGTGGAGCATCGTAAAGAGATACAGTCCCATGGTGACCGGTGACCAATTATTGGTTCATACGCCATTTGTTCACTCAGGACACTGGAGCCCATATGCACGATTGGTTTGAAATCAGGGTTTTCCAACTCCCCTAGTTGAATCTTCCATACCCACCAACCTGGTCAAATCGCCGGACATTCACTTTTCGTTCTCTCAATTTCGTAAATAACACCCACGCCACGAGAAGGCAGTGAGTAGGACTTCCCTGGCAGAAGCTATTTACTCGTGGCCATGTGAGAGCATTTCGAGAGGGAGAGTTGACTCTCTCGGCCGTACCAGGGCATTTCGGGGCAAAACTCTCCCGCACTGGGAGTGGACACGGGCCGCCTGAGTGAAAACCAGGAATCCGAACCGCTAGATCACGCGAGACATCTTCAAACTCCTTCATTTCAATTAAAAAGGTGTTACGGACAAAGCGTTGTCAAGCTCTGAATATCAATGACATCTCTACACTTTTTATCCCTTACATTAGAAAATAAGAATATACATGAAGTTTACCTTCTATCTCCAGATAGTAAGGAAATTTGGTCTCACACAGCATATTTTTACAATTTATGGACTTATACAGGGTTCATAATCAATTTTCTTTATTTGAGGTAAATGTCTATATGGATGCAAATCAATTTCCTTCAGGACCTTATTATAAAACAAGTTTTTTCTTGAAATAAATCAACGTATATTTGTTGTTTATGTGTACTATTACAATATACACACATTTTCTCGAGCATTTATACACTGAAGCAGTTCCTGCTATCCTAAACATCACTGATAGAATGAATCGTTTAAAACAATTCGCTTCGAAAAGACAGACTATCAACCATTCACTGCTGATCAACACAGTTAATATCAAAACAAGTAAATAACATGGATATTGTTACGTTCATGCTGATTTTATACTCCATTGTGGCATTCAGGTTTTATCTAGTTAATCCCAAGAGTTTCAGGCTGCATGGTCTAACTTGAGAGTCAGCTGCTACCAAAGATCACAACTTAGTCACTACGGAATCTAAGTGGGACAACTACGGTTATCAGTAAATTTTCACTTTATCCGTCTTGTAAAGAAACAATAGAGGACTACATACGAAATCATGAACTGAATAAATTATTCGATGAATTAAATATTTTGGGGGTGAAAGTGATTGTAAAGGTTTTCAGATAAAGCCAATCATTAACCCATGAACAGTTAATATCAATTTTAGAATTTCATGTCAGAAATATGAAATCTCCATTTGAAATCTGGTTGATCTTTCAGTTTAATATATTTCCATTAAAATCGCTTTAGATGTAAAAAGACAATGTTTACTTGACGGAATAGCATATTTTCCAGACGAATGAGTTAAGATTATCCGAAGCATTTTCAATGTCCACTAGATCTATCCCATCCAGTAATTTCTGTCATTTTTCTATTCATTTAGCGGGGAAGTCCTGTACATTACAGTTTAGTTTTTATAAAAGATTTCAAAACAAGTGACTGGAGTTATCCACTACTGTCTGCTATCAACATGTCCAGTGTAGCACTATCCAGCATCCTGGATGAAAAACACAGATACAGTTGAAGTTAGGCTTTCAAGCAAAATTTTGCGTGAAGAACATACCCTTACCTCACCAGACGTACGGAAATATGGTTACGAGCATTAAATATAGAACATTTGTCATAAATTGATAACACTGTAAACGATCTTAGACTATGAATGCTGAACAAATTTTAAAAATAAATAATCCGAGTATGGTAGTATTTTTAGTCATCAATTTATAGTGCGAGTGTAATTTCAGGATTTACAATATCTATAAACCGTACTATATTTACGTACTCTGTATCGTTTCACAAATATGTTTGTATAATTTAGATATTTTGTATTAGATATAATTTGTATGATAAATACTTAACATAAAAGCTGTTATACGTTGGAGGAAAAATCAAATACAATTGTGTTCCATTAGACATTAAAACATTCACTTCATAACTGGTATAAGGCATCAGTACCTATCTAAGACAGATAATTTTGTTTAAAAATTCTTGTTTAATTAAAACTAAGCAAACTTATTTGGATTTAAAAGTACATAGAATATCAAACATTGGAATTTCAATTATCCAAAACATTCAAATTTAATTCCTACAGTTTTATTCAAACGATAGTAGTGTAAGCCAAACAATAGTAACCTAGATTTTGTAGTTTATTGTGATATAATGTTATGACAACGAATCAAGGTTAAACATAGATGCATAAAATAAACAACAACAATAATAACGTTCTAAGTATTATGACTCACCAATTTTTATCTGTTTACTAGAAATTAATGGTAGGTTATAATGTATCTATTGATTGAAACGTAAACTTTCAGTGTTTGGGATAAGTTTGTAAGTTTTAGTATAACTAATTAGTAATTATTTATTCATTATATTTTTATTTGAATACATAAATAATAGTACAAAAGGGCGCCGAATACATATGCACCACACAATTCACTTCGTTTGTGTGTGGGCTGTGATATTGTTCAGGTGTCCAGATCGAAGCAGGTAGTTTTCCTAGGGGGCCATACCCGGAATCTT